ACAAAATGTCAAAAAATGATACCCTACCCCAGACCCAGAAGCCGAAAAACCATACCCTATAGGGCGGCACATACCCGTATAGCAAATATAGGGGAGTACCCCCCCCCCCCCGGGTTAAATAATAACAATAATTTTATAAAAACATCAAGTTAAACCTCAACTTGAAACCATCGGTTTGAGGTCACTCAATGTATTTTTTACCTTGAGATTTAGATACGGTGCTAACCGAAATACAGTGGGCACCTARAAATATTCCAAGAATGTTCTATTGTTCTTTAGCCAATCAGAATTGACTTTCTAACCACAAGATAACGGAAAGATAGCAATAACACTTCTGATTTGTTAAGAAACATTCTTGAAATATTTCTAGGTGCTCACAGTTTTTCGATTTTTTTTTCAAGTTTTTTCAAGTTTTATTATTTCATATGTAGAAAATACATGTAGGGATAGTATTGAACATCGTTATGTTTTCAATGATATATAGTATTAATTTAACTTACTTTTTGCAGTTCTTTGCAAGCTGGTTTACAGCACGAATGTTTACATCTGCACAGAAGCTAAGCTTGAGTACTTGTAGACTCTGGCTACAGTAGTTACCAAGGGATACAATACTATGCAAAGAAGAAAACCAACAAAGATGARCTTGCAACAGACTCCTTATAATAAATAAATAAAATAAATAAACAAATCACTTTATTTAGGTGTCTAGTCTTTTTAGCACTTTTGCACTAATTGGGGACACTTTTCGCTCCCACTCACTATCACTACATTTAATATTCTATGCACACAACGCTCAACTCACATGTCGATTTTTACAGAGGGAGGAAACCGGAGAACCCGGGGAAAACCCTTGTAGCAYAGGAGAGAACAACACATCAAACAAACTCAATTTACATGTGGCGACCGCAGGCCTCAAACCAGCAACCTGACCCGTTGGACTCACAGAGGTGAAAGATGATGCGCTGGCCGCATACGCCACACAAAGATAAAATACAGTATCTATAAGAAATCACAATTCCTTACCTTTTACTTGTAACAGAATTACCAGTTGAGCTGAGGTCCAAAAGCTCGAGTTTGTTACAGCACCGGGCAAGAGCACGGACCCCAGCATCTGTGATGTTAGCACAGCCACAAATATCTAAACACCTGAAAAAATATGCAAGAAAGATGACCTGACAGTAATGCACAGCTGCTAAACAAAGAAGTTATATTCTAGCGAATTACATGTATATATATCATCTATGTGTATGTAAATGTTATACAAATTTCTGACATTTTTTTGAGGGCAGTTTGAACAGACAAAGCACCTCTCTCAGTGTTGAAAAATGCCAAAAATATTCTCTATYTTTCTTCATACTTACTTGATTGCAGGCAAATTTGTAGATATTTCCGTTAAAGCAACATCTGTGATCAGAGGGCAGTTGGCAAGGACAAGAGATGTTAGGAGAGGACAGTGACGAACTAYCTTCTTCACTGCAGAATCACGAGCCTGTAGAAGGAAAAAAACAGTGGTTGAGCAAACCATTTTTAAAAATTCTGTTTGAGAAACGTTAAACAAGTGTTTGAGATGGGGTGGGGTTAGGGGAAGACTGTGCTCATTAAGTTTGCTATTGATGTATGCACTGGCAGCCACTTTTAGACAGACTTGCTWTATTTAGTTAATAMAGKGTCAATGGRTTTTAKAGATACCTGCTTGCAGCCACGTAGRTCCAGGTTTTCCAGTTCAGGCAAATGCGACACAAGATTCCCTATAGCACTATCAGTCATCTGTAAAATAACCAGAAAACACTTTGTTAAACAACTGATATTAGCAGAAAAGATACCAATAGGTCAACAGATGCACTTTGTTTACTATCTCCAAATAGCACTAACATAATAGCCAACTTTCCCCTMAGCATTTGTCTAAGACATTCTTCACAATTCCCCTCACTAAACTTTTGACAAGTGAATTAGCTTGATGAATAGTCCAGTTTTGAGTTCCAAATGACCACTGTCTTTCTTGATTAAAGACTCCTTTACTCAGGCTTAGCCTCGAATCAGTGTCTAATTACTCATAAATACCAACAGTAAAGTAAAGAATGCACAACTTCAACCATACGAGCACTTTGAAACTTGACAGACCTTGACTGAGACACGTGAATATTCTTCACAAAATCGAGGCTAAGCCTGAGTAAATGAGTCTGTAATCAAGAAACACAGTGGTAATTTGGAACTCGAAAAGGGTCTACCAGTTTGTTTGATGTGTTGGTATCTCCTATGCTACAAGGGTTTTCTCCAGGTTCTCTGGTTTCCTCCCTCCATAAAAATCRACATGTGAGTTGAGCRTTGTGTGCATAGAATATTTAATGTAGTGGTAGTACGTGTGAGCAAAATATGTCCCCAATTAGTGCAAAAGCGCTAGAACTAGACACTTAAATAGAAATATTTCTTTATTTTTTATTTAGCAAGTATTTCCCAGTGAGTTAGTTTATTATAACTACAGAGGTCACAAGTCTACAACATCCCTTGTATCTCTCCCCATTCACCTTTGCTACAAGTACATGTTTATACCTTATGACACTGGCCAATATTCAAAGTCTGTAGATGAACACACTTGTTGGCAAATACTTGGAGACTTGCTGGTGTGATGTTGAAACATCCAAACACTTCAAATATCCGCAGGCTAAAAATATAATTGATATTAAATGATATTATTAAAATCATAAATTATGTCGAAAATCTAGAAAAAAAACTTTAAAAAACAATACGTGAAAAGTTTAATAAATTGCAACGGATGTGCTTTGAAATTTGGGGTATAAGCCCCTCTTAAAAAAACCTTAGTCCTTACATATATCTTACCTTTCTCCATGTTTATCTGCTACACATGTCAGTGTCTTGTCTGTGATGGCCTGACAGCCATTCAAGCACAAGCATTCAAGTCTGATATGAGGTCAAAGAGGAAAATTAATAATTGACAACATTACTATAACAGTAACTAAAGAATTAAGGCTCTAGTTTGTTAGTTAAACACCTTACTCTCAACTTAAATCTTTAAAAAATCATTGAGACAAATGTCATGACAAGCTAACTACAAGCTCATTTCATGTCTGATTTTGCGGGAGTGCAAACCTGTGGTACTCAGCTATTATTTCATTATCTACACATAATTTATATATAACATAACAGTCGCACTAGGGATGT